AAAAAAAAAAAAAAGATATGGCCAATACTGTCAAAGATATTTAGAAAACAGACACTTAAATTCTGTAGGACTATCTTATACATGTCAAGGACCTCATGAATAATATTCCTGATACTACGAGCTAATATTTGTCAAGCACTTCTCTTATGCTGGACCTTCTCATTTAATCCTTACAACTACTCTCTGAATTAAGTATCCTAACTTATAGGTAATACCTAAATTAAGTAACTTCCCCCAAACTCATACAACTAATAAGATGTGGGATCAGGATTTAAGACCAGGTTCTGATTCCTGAGCCCATGTTGTTTCTGGATACTGTCTACTGCCTCAAAAAAAAAAAGGCTGATTTTACTTTTTTAAATTTAATAGACCTCAGCTGTATGTGCAGTAGCTGTTAAGAGCCATTTTCCTCTACTTCCTACCTTTCATTACAAAGTTGGAAAATACTTCACATTCTCCTTGCACCATCCCTAATAGCTAGAGATGGCAATACAGCCCAGACGTGGCTAACAGAATGCAAGAAAACATCTGCCAAGAGACTGCTGGTTGACATGTTCCTTCTCAATAGAGAGGCAAGAGAGCTTGCCTCCTCCCGTCCCTTTCTACTTTTGGATATTGTCATCTGAGAATGTGATTATTGCAGATTTTGCCACCATCTTGTGACCTCCGACACACTGAGGCAGAAAAAATACAAAAAAAAGTTGTGTCCTTGATAACCCTATATCCATCCACCCATCTCTGGACTGCCTGTAGGAGATAATAACAAATCCCCAATGATAAACTATTATTTGAATATTCTGTTACATGAGTCAAAAGCACTCTAATTGATCCTGGGTGTAAAATTCATGGCATGGTGAAAATTCATGGCATGAATCATAACATTCTAAGATGAGAAAAACACTCACCTTGTTTGTTTAATTTTGTCCCAACTTCAGGCAGACTACAGTAAACAACATCTCCCAAAGCTTCCTAAATAAAACAAGACAAAACAAAACCAAAAATCTTTAAGATGTCAAATTAAACTCCTCAGTAAATGGGAACAAGCCAAACACTGAATCCCCTACAATTAAGACAGCACTATATATTTTATACTTGAGGGGCCACAGCCATCTGTTTCCCTTACACCCCTTTAAAAATGTAAAAACTATCCTTAACTCAGAAGCTACAAGAAACAGGCTGCCAGCGACATTTGGCCCATAGGCCATAGTGACTCCTGTCACAAACCATATTCCCCAAACAGGATAACTAGCTCTTCTGAGTACAGACACTTTGTGCTTTTCCACCTCTGCAGCTGTACTTACACGATTACCCCTACTGCACATCTTACACAGTATTTCACAAAACACTCTGCCCTGTACTGCACCTCATAGTAGGTATACACATATGCCAAGGAACAGACAATTATCAGAGATTCTCAATACCCAAGAATCCAACGTTTCTGAGGAATTGTGTGCACAGTCACGCACTACATAGTGATGTTTTGATCAATGACAGACTGCAAATACAGCAGTGGTCCCGTAAGATTATATTATAGGTTGAATGTCCCTTATCCAAAATGACTGGGATGAGAAGCATTTCAGATTTTGGATTTTGGAATATCTGTACTATACTCAATCAGCCGAGTTGAGTATAGTACAATGCAAAAATCTAAAAATTTCCTTTAAGCATGACCTTTGAGCATCATGTCAGTGCTCAAAAAGCTTTAGATTTAGAGCATTTCAGATTTTTAGATTACGGATGCTCAACCTGTACCATAGTTTTACTGTTCCTTTTCTATGTTTAGATGTGTTTAAATATACAGATACTTACCATTGTGTCATAACTGCATACAGTATTCAGTAATGTGCTGTTACAGGTCTGTAGCCTAGGAGCAATAGGCTGTACCATGCAGGCTACGTGTATAGTAGGTTATCCCATCTAGGTTTGTCTAAGTACACTCTGATGTTCGCACAAGGATGAAATCACCTAATGATGCATTTCTCAGAACACATCCCTGTGATTAAGTGACACATGGCTGTATTCCCATCAGTTAACATCCCCTTTTGCCATTCTGCCTCACCCAATACATACATCCAGCTGAAAATCACTGCCCCATGCTATTAGTATCTGGCTTCTCATTTTTAAACAACATCTCAGTATGGAATCAGTGGAGATAGGGGAATTAAGAGAAAAGATAGGCTAAATAAAAGGTTTCCCTTGGTGAAATCTGGCCTATTTAGATCTTCCTTCATGTCCCCCTGGTCCAGTATGTACATATCACTGTACCCACAAAATGCTGGTGACACTACAGCGCTTTGGCTTGCTCTTTTCTTCTTTCTTTAACTGCCCGGTATAAAGCAAACACATTTCTTTCTTGAATAAGCTATGTTTCCTACTTTAAGTATTAACCTTTCAGCATCTCTTAAAATACCACATAATGCCCTAACTAAATTATGTTTCACTTGTTTTACCTCTATTTTCTTCTGAGGGTCTTTAAGGGGCCCAAAGTACAGATTAAACAGATTAAACAATTTTAAAAGGTACAGACAATCCACATTATTTGAGAGTACTCACAAATACTTTAAGACATCCAATACCTGCGCAAAATTGCTGATTCCCACTGTTCCAACACCATTTTCTGTTGTTACCCATTCATGTTTCTCTGTAAACTTACGCACTAAAACAGAAGACAGGTATTTCAGAAAAGCAGTGACATCATATCTTAAAAAGCACTTTTGATTATCACTGCTGACTTTCCCAGCATTTGTGTTTGACTTGTTGACACTGCCTTTCAATAGTACACTGCCCAGAAAAGCACAAAGATCATGAGTAAAATGGCACACCTTCTAAACAGTAGTGTCATTTAGGCAAAGTTGGCTTGTTTGGAATACCTTGGGCATTTCATGGAGATTATTTGCTTTAACATTACT